GATTCCTTTCCTCGGCCTCCAAATTAAAGCGAAGACATGAGTTCTTTGAAGGTTGTGAACTTAACCTTTCTGTCCGTCAATAGCACACCCACCACCGGGAACCCCGAATTGTCCTCCTCTGCGGGCACTTCCTCCGAATCGAAATTGTCAAGATCCAGTGATTCTTCCTCTACCCCAATCGCCATTCTTTTATACTTATCTACGAAGATTTCCATCTACAGCCGCTGCCTTACCTTCCTGCCGGACCGCCGCCGCATCATGAAACTCCTTGAAGCAATCCCTGTGAAATAGCAAACGCTCGCCTCCACACCAGGACCTACGAATACCGCTTCTGGCTGACCAATCCTCCTTCGCGTATCCAACAATCCAAAAATGAAATCCAGTTCCAAAGCCGGAAGACCCCCGACACCGCCCCTCGGAAAAATCGATGGCGGACGAACCTAAGCTAAGGTTCTCGAGAGAAAACCATAGAGAGAGGACTACTTATATGTATATATAGTTATCGCATTTTATTTTATTTAAATATGATTAAATATATTGAAGTCCCATAACAAAAAAATATGAAATAATAAAGTGTTAAAATAAGATTTTAGGTTATTCCTCCTATCAAATTGATTTTTTTAGAATGCAGCTCTGAGTCTTAACATGGTATCAAAGTCAAACGAACAATAAAAATGGTGAGGGTACCCTATGAAAATGGCGTTGCGTTTATAAAAATTGACAATGACAAATCGATGAAAAGTATGAATAACACGATCCTCACAAAGTCTCTGGTCGTGAGGGCGGATGTTGAAATCTCACACCGTTAATATATGAAATTATAAATTGTTATATTAAAAATTCTTGATTATTCATCCTATCATATTTGAATGAAACTCTATATCTTAATAAAACGTTCATTTTCTACTGTTAATATAATAAATAGAAATTACCCTAAGTAGGATTAAAGTTTCCCTAAAAAGCACAAATAGAACTACTACTTTTGTATGAATAACATAACTCTCACGAAGTCTTTGGTCGTGAGGACGGATGTTGAAATCTCACACCATTAAAATATGAAATTATAAATTGTTATATTAAAATTCTTGATTACTCCTCCTACTATATTTGAATGAAACCCTACATCTTAATAAAGGGTTCGGTTTCTACTTTTAATACAATAAATAGAAATTATCCTAAGTAGAAATTATCCTAAGTAGCACAAATAGGACTACTACTTCTTAAATCCCCCAATAAGACTAAAACTTGATTTCCACCATAAATACCCCTAAGGGTATTAATTCACAATGAAATGTTTAATTCATAAAAATCTTAATTCATAATAAAATCGTAAAAATAATAAAAAAAATCGTAAAAAATATTAAAAAATCGTAAAAAAATATAATATTTATAAAATAAAAATTTGAAAAAATATTTGTTTTTTTGATTTTTTTTAAAAAAAATTAGTAAAAAGTAGTAAAAACGCATAAAAAAATATAAAAAAATGGATACTTTTCCCACTACCTTCAGCACCACCACCTCCGATTGGTGAAAATCCTGATTTTTTTTTGTGAAAAATGCCTTTTCCCCCTTCAAAAATGCCAAGTAAATAGCATTATTACTCTTCATAATGCCAAAATTTTCATTGAATTTGCCACTATTGTGGCATTACTAAAGATGTAGGGAGATTTCCTCCGGTGATGGGAGCTGGTGGTGCGGGGGTGAAAGAGGCGGCAATGTTTTTTTTCGTTTTAATTTGTTTTTTTTAATATTTTAATTCTTTATGTTTTTTTATTTTATAAAAATTTTATTATTATTTTTTACGTTTTTTTATGATTTTATTATTAATTAAAACATTTCAAAAGCTACAGAGGTATATTTATCCAAACACACATAAATATTCCTATTGGAAGTGATTTAAAACATGTAGTCTTATTTGTGCTCTTTTGACCATTTTTATCCCATAATTCACTCTTAGGGTGTTTTTACTTGGATTGTAATCTGTCCTAGACTATACCAAATCAAACCAGACCAGACCACACCAGACTAGATCAGACCAGACCAAACCCACTTTGGATAATTATAAAAATATAAAGAGACCAAACATTAACAGATCAGACCAGATCAGACTAGACCACCAGATCACTAAAAACATCCTTAATTGTGCAGCTCTCTCGATGCAAATTAAAAAGGTTATCTCATCTTTTTTACAGCTTTAGACATTATTACGCGGCCTATTAAGTATGGCAGATTCTATGGTACCCTTAAGATATCATACCTTTGTCCACATGGACCAATAGAAATGATGCAATTGAATTAATTAAATCTAAATTAAAAGGAATAGAATGATTTGGACCAATCAAATGCATGATATAGGTATGGTACCCCAATTTTTAAAAGGATACCGGAGTTGTCACCATTAAGTATATGTCCATTTCCTCTATCTCTTAGCTAGCAAGTAGCATCGTAATCCGTTATTACGCAAGCAACATATATGCCCATGCGCCTATCAGTAGTGGGATATATAGCTAGCTTATGCATTAAAGATGTTTTGGGGACTTGGTTCCATAAAAAAATCATATACGCAGTATTCAAAATTAAGAGGTTAACGTCTAATTAGTTTTGAACTAGAATTGTTGGAAGTTGCAATCTAAAACCTAATTAATTCAGATTCTGTTATGACTTCGTGAATAGGTAATAAAGAAAGTTTGGCTATATATAGTAGCCTATAGTCCCTATACATATATTGATCGAGTTGGCATGAACTTGGAGGGGATTGATCAAGTTTGACACGAATCATAACATATTTTTGGCACAGCGTCGTGCCAAATAGCTGATGACAAAAAGGCATTGACACGGAATTTGACACAGATTTGACGTGTTCATTCCAAATCCGTGCCAAATACCTTATAAATTTTGGATAATCCATGCCAAATATCCGTGCAAGTCCGTTCATTGTTTTTTTTTGTAGGGATGCTCCATTTCATGTCAAAACTAAATACGTAGTATGTATCTAATTAGATTAAGAATTAGGATCGTCATATGTGCAAGTGCCCAAATCAGCACTAATAATTTATGATCTGCCAATTAAGCTAGATTTCTTCAATTGGGATGCATGAAAATCTAATGATGTAAGAAGAAGGATACTTTGGGGATGATGAGCTGATAAAATATTATTCAAATAAGTGGTCACACAAATGTTTTATACAAGAAAAATAAAGCGCGCATTTATCAAATTTGAGCTAAGGTTGGTTGGAGCTGAGCTTAGCATGTTTCTCTACCTTTGAACTAGCTAAGCTCTGAATTGTCCCGCTCCAATGGCACGGGAACCAATTAACTCTTATTCATTTGTGACCCGCTACGTAAAAGTATTGGGTCATTTGCCACTGCATGGTGAATTGGGAGCAGCCTCTTGTCAAAATGAGAGAAATTAAAGTTTATCTTCCTACATCCTTGTGATGGTATGCCAATGTGCTTAAGGTCATATTTGGTATGATGTAATCAATCATGTAATGTAATGTAATGTAATGAGCATTATATGTTGATTTGATTACGATATTTGATATGCCATTTTATTTTAAACCGTAATGCAATAAACATTGCACATGTGAAACTCATTACTTTGATATATATGTAATAAACAATACATTAAACAAGATGTGTATTTGGGATTACAACTTAAACCATGCATGAGTGGACCGGACACACACACATACACTGTGTAGATAAACAAACATAATTATGTAACGTTGATTACAATAGTTATTACTTAAGTAACCAAACATAGTGATGGACGATTCCATTCCATTATATTTTATATTGGCTTTTAAGCGTTACATGTACTTATATGTGTAGCAATAGCAATCTAATTAATTTACGACTATCTACTCGATAGACCACCATAACGAGATCGCAAGGTCAGCTTGCTTGTAGTTACCGTCCGGGTGGGAGTCAAGGATGGACATAATAAGCGACATGGGTTGTGTCCCATGATCCACTATTTTACAATTGCCCATGAAATTAAACTACCTCCGACTGTAAAAAGCAAGTTCCCAATTTGTTTATCAAAATGTATATCAAAATAAAGTTCGAATTTAGGTTACCGTCAATTTTTGATTGATTTGACATAAATAAAAATGCGTGCAAGTAAATTTGATTGCTTGTTTGCATGATAGATCAAATAGAATGGGTACAAAGTATGATTTGTGTAAGAAGAAGTCTATATGTAGAATGGATCTATGTAGAATCGATTATGTTGCATGCAATAAAAGAGTTTAAAGTTGGATGTAACTTTAGATGGTGGCATTTTTTAAATACTTGTCAAAATCCCATGTTGTACTAAAAGATGGCCAATGTTTTCATTTCTCATTCTCTGTATTAAATTAGATGCATTTCTCACTGCATACTTGAGGATGTTGTTAGAAGTTTGCTGATCTGGTCTAATCTGGTTTGATCTGGTAAACGTCCGATTTCTGTATATTTTATAATTGTTCAAGTGTGGTCTGGTCTGAGACTGAAAACAATACAAGTAAAAACATTCTTAACCAAAATCTTATACTTCTCCACTCCTAATAACTTCTCAAAGTTAGATCGATATGCTGAAGCAACACCAGTATTTTGGAGGCCCAAGACGAGATTACACATACTACGGAAATGCCATAGGTATATGCCATAGTTTATATTGTGTGGAAAAAACATACTACTCCATTCTCTTTTATTTGCAACATTGGACTTTTTGCACTATTCACATGTTCTACTTTGACTACATTTTATTAATTGATGTATAATAAATTAAATTTTTAAAAAATATTGTTAAATTCTTCTTATTCTAAATTTGCAAAATATGATTTTTTTTAATTTTTTTATTAATAAGGAATAAAAGATATTAACGGTCAAACTTGTGTATTGGCAAACGTGAAATGTTGACTGTTGCAATTAAAAAGGAACGAAGGAAGTACTCCGTAAAATGTTACAATTTGAGATCAATTGAACTAAAAGACAAAATATAATGAGAATTACTACACGGAGAGAGTAAAAGGAAAGAGAATTCCACTAATTTGAACCATATATATCGTTTTGATATACTACGTATATTGATACAACGATAAACCTATCAAGCTCAGAGTATATATTACTGTACTATATTATTAATACTCCCTCCGTCCCAATTTGCTTAGTCAAACTTGTTTTTTCAAGTCAATGGTACCTAACTTTGACCGATTATATATTTATATAGAAAAAATATTAAAAATATAAAAATTATATGAAAATGTTCTTTGTTGAAAATACTATTATAAAAGTATAAAATTATTATTTTTTCATAAATATATTAGTTAAAATAATTGGTCAAAGTGTACACCTTTGCCCGGGAAAGTCAATATTGGTTAACTAAATTGGGACGGAGGTAGTATATACTATACTACGTATGTGGCTAGTACAAATACAAATGTTACACAAATTCAAATTAAGGTGTCTTCCAGGAATCCACACAGTTAACATGCCGAGACCATTGAAACGCAGCCGTCCGGTTGCCGTCGCCGGAGAAGCTTTTAAACCTCCGCCAGTCGTGAATCACGGCCGTCAGGTCCGCCAGCTTGGCGGTTATGGTCCGGCAACAATTGGCATGCACCGTCACGACCGACTCAACGTCCTTACTATCCTGACAAAACCCGCTGAAAAACCGGGTATCCAAGAACCGAACTTTGAGCCCTAATTCTCTGAGTGTGCCTTGGCGGATCAACTTGTTCAACACATCTTGTTCCTTCATTCCGTCCGATGAGTTTTTCATGGCGTACCAGGAATCGAACAGGGAGATGGTTCGGTTGTTGGGCCGGATCATGTAAAACCCGGTGTTGATCGGGTTCGATTCCGACCGGTCGTCGCCGTTGAAAATGTCTGTACTGATTTGGAGGTCTAGGGTTTCATTTGTGCTCCTCAATTTAGGGAATGGATCTCTTAGCCATAGAACATCACTATCCTGCACCATCTCATCAAATGTACATACTCCGTATCAATAATCATATCCTTTCCGTTCAAATCCTTCTTGCCACTTGCAAACTATTTCTAAGATTGAGACAAGAGAAAGTTGCATGATTATTAAGAAAAGTGAGTTTGCGTGGTTTATATTAAATTGATAAAGTAAGAATGATTTAGAGCCACACAAACTTTACCAAATTTGGTATGAGACAATCTTAGTGGGACTTCCCGAAAAGGTAAAATGCGACAATCTTAGCGGGACGGAGAGAGTAAAATATTCGGTGGGACAATTTTGGGGTCTAATCTGGCATGTTCCTGTTCTGTTTAAGTCTGTTCTAAACAGGTTTGATTAATGGCTAGTTTTTATGTATTTAGAGCATCTCCAATGACATTCTTTTGAGTGAGGGTAAATTTTGACACAAGTCACTTAAATAATATAGTGTTTATTCACATAAGATTACATATAAACCCATGTTGCCAAAGACCTATATAATTAACAAATAAAATCCTTCACGTACCGACGTACGGCATATCATGTTCCATGGGAGAAATTCTTTTCTCCGCCCATTACCTCCAATAATTGGAGATTGTTTTCACTACATACGTATTTAATTGCTCCTTATTTGATTGTTATTTTTCTAGCATGAAGCGAATAGATCTGATCTGCGTGTATAATTAATTTTGAACATCTGTATTCTTCTTTGGATTTGTTAAGTACGAAGTAACAATAAAAATAAAAATTGGTGCAATTCAGGGCTATTTCTTCGCTGGATGGGTTGCATGGAGCCATCACTGCGTTAAACTAGCTTTCTAAATCCCAACAGAAGGGTTGAAAGCGTCGGTTCCACATCAGATTAAAAGAACCCATACACTTTGCATTGGAGATGAAAAACTAATCACACTTTTGAAATTGATGGCGTGGCAACTTTTACAGTTTTACTATGTCAAAAGAGTAGGATTGGAGATGCTCTTATAGTAGTTTTAAAGTCTGATTTGGCCTGATCTGTTCTGATATGAGACTGAAAAAGTCCAAGTAAAAACATTCAAAGTGTACATTGAAGTCTGATTTGATATGTTTGAATATGTGGTCTGGTCTTAGATTAAAATTAGTCTAACTAAAAGTATTCTAAGTTTTTCTTCCAAATTCTCCCTCTATCTCAACTTAAACTTCTCAGGTGTATCTTTTGGACGTCTCAAGTAAAGGTTCCCATTTCTATCATAGCACTCTTAGATAAGAATTTAATCATCGGAAAGTTCTTAAAATAGAAGTAAACAAGTTTTGCAATTTCAAATTAGGACTATTGTGTTTTTTCTTTACGAAATAGGAGTAGCATGTCATGCAGTATTTAACTATTTACTGTCATCTTGGAGTCATTCTTGCAAAAACAGTTGTAGTACTAGACATTAAATGACATTATTTATTATCATTAATGAAGATATATTATTTTTCAATCATGACAATAACAACTCAAATTTTGAAAAAGAAAAACATACGGAGTAATATATAGTTATATTTTGGAATTCTTGTACACTTTTATTCCTATTTGAGACAGTTTCTCTTTAATAATCAAAATTTTAAAACAACACACCTATAACATAATACTCCATATTTATCATCAATGACATCATTTTATTATATATCCATATAAATGACTTCTCAAAATATGGCTTTATTTAACTATTGTTTTACTAACTGTGTGATTTCAACAAGAAGCTTAATCAAGGACGGAAATAGTAATAAATAATAGTACTTTCATTATTTATTAATTGCAACAGTTTGACTTTATATTTGCCAACAGACAACTTTGACTTCAATTATATTTAGTTACGTATTAGTAAATATTATAAAATGTTTATATTTTAGAAATTCACTTTAATAGAAATCTTATAATATTTAATATATAATAATTTGATTACATATATTAGTAGAAAATCATGGTTAAAACAAGATGTGTGAATAGTGTAAAATCGTAACTACTAAAAAACAGGGGAAATATTTTAGCATATATTACCATATATATTATACGTAGTATATGAGTATTAATAGGTAAAACTTGTTGTTGAATTCCTATTCTTTTTATAGTTTGATAGCGCATGTGTACTGTATATTTAGAGTTAATTCTTAAACTAGGAATAAAACCATGCAAAAGTGAATACACACACACACAAATATTCCTGTCCGGAATTTCCGGACAGGAACCCCCGTCCGGCCCCCCTCCATTTGGGGGCCTTCCCGGTGATACTTTTTGCTAAAATTTTTGGTGTATGTTCCTCATCAAGTCTAGTTCATCCACACCAAATTTCAGCAAAACATTCAATCGGGAAGGTCGTCAAATGATTTTTTCAAGTTAACTGGTCCGGAATAAGTATTTTCCGGACCAGTTAACTTGAAAAAATCATTTGATGACCTTTCCAATTGAATGTTTTGCTGAAATTTATTATGGATGAACTAGACTTGATGAGGAACATACACAAAAAATTTGAGCAAAAAATACCACCGGGAAGACCCCCAAAAGGAGGAGGCCGGACGGCGCTCCGGTCAGGAAATTCCTGACCGGAAGATTACTCTCTCTCTCTATACACACACCATATGGGATGAGGTAAGATCAAAATAAATCATTATAGAACAGACTTTCACAAGTATAAAATACTAAAACAAACATTTACTAGGTCAGACCAATTCATATCGGATCGGGCTCAAACAAACCAGATTAAACTATACTAAACCAATCCAAAAAACTTTAGTCCCAAACAACATCCCAGCTTCGTAAAGCAACCATGCACCTTCGAACTGCAGCCACTCATCGCCATTATCGGGTAGCCACTGCCACCCCAATTTGTTCAAGTTTTTTTTATTTAATGTAATAGTTTTATGTATTACTAGTATTATTATTTAACCATTGTCTAGGTATGGTCTATGTGTTTAAGTCTAATCTATCCTAGGAGTGAAATATGTCCGGATGAATATGTTCATACTTCATAATTGTCCATAGTTGAAACAAATCTCAGTCCATCAAGTAATTCATCAAAATAAGAATAAACATTAATGTTTTACACGGATGTTTTTAGTTGGAATGGTTTCAATTTCAGATCACATACGTCAGATCAAATCAAACTTTAAAATACCAGACTACACTAGTTTAAATCAAACTTATATTTTATTTTGACAAACATCAAACTTATACGAAGTATTAGATATAATAAAATATGCACATACTAGTCCTTTATCATACCAAACTAAAAGTAACCAGATGAAATCATATTTTAATAAATCATACTTCCTCTGTCCCAAATTGAGTTGCAAAATTAACCTATTTTGGGTCAAACAAATTGATTTTATTCACTTAAATAGGATATCAAATCTTAATTAAACTTTTATTTGGTTTTTGGAACTTTAATTTATACAGATTTTAATGTAATTTCTGAACATGTAAACTTTAATTTTTAAAATTGAATTAATTATCAAAAGGTAAGTAAGATTTAACTTTAACATTGTTTGACAAGAAATGTTGATTTTGCAAAACAATTTGTGACGGATGTAGTATCAGATAAACAAAAACACAGTGTAAGGATGCATTTTACTTAGCTTGGACTGTTTTTCAGTTCTAGGCTTGATCAGACCATACCGGATTTGAACAATTTTAAAATACACAGTGACCATACATGAACCGACCAGATTAGACCAATTGAGACCAGACCAGATGAGAAAACTTCAATCCAATTAAGAGCATCGTCCTAAATAAAAACATCTTAAATCTTACGTTGCTATTTTTCAATCGCTCCGATGCTACGTTTATGTCGATTAATTGGTAACGCTTTTATAGTAAAAAGTTCCGTGTAAGTGTGTAACATTATTGGTATTAGTATTATCAGGTTTCCTTAATTGCCTATATGCATTAACAACCCCACAAAGATATTACATTGTGGCATCATTTATAGATGAAGTTTCCATACTTGCGTGGACGCAGTTTTATCTATTTGTGTGTACTGTAAAGACACATAAGTTGAATTTCTCTGCGGCACTTTTTAAATCATACCTGTATAATTACTTAAACTGATTCTAATTCAGTGTTTGTATACTAAATTATTTAAAATTATTAAACAGTTAACCCTAAGTTAGCATTGGATGAATGGACTGATTCCTATATTTCCAATTTCCATAGTATACTGTAAGCACCATCAAATTAAAAATGAAAAAAAATAAAGAAATGAAATAATAATAATAATAATAATAATAATAATAATAATAATAATAATAATAATAATAATAATAATAATAATAATAATAATAATATGATAATAATAAATGATACGACTACTAAAAAATTACGAGATTGACCGATAATTTTGTGCCAAAATGTTTTTGGCATGGATATATTTGTCATATCATCCTGCCAAATCCTTTATGAATTTTCGCAAATTCTTGCCAAAAATATCGGTCAATCCTGTTTTTTTTAGAATTGTAGGGAGTATAACAATAACCAAATTATTAACATTTCAAAAAAACCAAATTAGTACTAATAAATAAAGCATACCGTAAAGATAAAGGTGTATCCGAGCTTGAGAACTTCTCCCAAGAATTGAGTCCTTCTCCACATCATCTTTATGAAATCGGCAGACATATACAGTTTCTCTCCGACGAAATCCACACCGTCCGTTTCGAGCTTGTAGCAATGCAGTCCAAGAAACATACACCGTTCATACGACGTTTGATCGACGGTCACGATCAACAAATGTTTGACCAACTTCCTAGTACCTTCTCCTAGCCAGAAACCATCCAAGAAGAGATCCAACATCGGCTTGTCCCCTTCCACGTAAGCTTTATTCACGACGGCGATTATCACCGTCTTGTCCTCCGTGCAAGCCCCGGCTAAGGCCTCGTCAAGCTTATCTCTGTAAAGCACCATTCTATATTGACTCTGTTGGGTCAAAACGAACAAGGTTGAAGTATTTGTCCAAGCCAGATTGATGCCGAATATAAAATAATAAAACACTATATAAAGATTCATTGCACGACATTGACATGAACTTTGTGCCTTAACAAACAAAAAAACAATGAATATATATACAAATTATGCATAAATATGTATAAGAAAAATTGGTTGATTATTGAATAAGATAGGGAAGATATTACATACGTTATTGGTCATTGATGGGGAATGGGAAGGAGGGTTTTGGGTGGGAAAGATGGAGATGAGGCTATTGTTGGACTGGGTAGGGTTAGTTGAGATGAGAATGTAGAAAACTCCGAAGAACAAAAGGGTATATACAAGAAAATGAGAAAAATCGGCTGCCCAGAAAATCTTGGTACATTCCGCCATATATGCGACGGCTTGCGGCGGCTTGCGGCGGCTTGCGGCGGCTTGCGGCGGTTGGCGGCGGTTGGTGGATGGAATTCTAGGTTGCGGCCGCCGGGGCTTTTTATGGTGGTTTGATGGTTGTAGCTAGGGGTTTTAATTTAGATATAGATGATTGTTTTTGGATTATCACTGAGTGTTGGATTTGATTTCAAATAGTCATGGTAGGTTTCGATCAAAACTTTAAAGTTATATACACACATGTGGATTACTAAATTTAGAATATTGTGCGAACTTCGTTTTTGGGAAGAAATTGAAGAGACCTTCGCTTTGTAAACACTTCTTCGACTTCTGTAACCTACACTAGGGTAATGAATTCACAAAGGTTAGTTTATTTTCATTCCATTCCTGAATTTCGAGAATTATATCGCGGGATCGGCTGATCAGTTGTGTTTTTTTTTACGACATCACTTTAAGTAACAAAAGTAAATTCTTAAAACGAAGATGACCTTGAAATTAGGGGGGTGGAATACCGAAATTTCGGTATAGCGCATTTACCATATCGAAAAATACCAGGTTTATCGAAGATTTAGGTCCTGACATTTTCGGTATGATAAGATATCGTGCCAAATTATTTCGATATGATATTGGTATATGTTTTAAAAACATAAAGTATACCAGTATAGTGTTATACCAAAAATCTATTCAAATATTTTTTAAAAATTATAAAAATGACTAAATACACAACATCATATTAGGGATAAATAATGATTTTATATTCATGTTGTTTGATTTTTTTTTATAGAGATCACTATTGATTTAGTTATACGTAGTATCTATATTGTTGAAGTTATTTTAGGAGAATGTGTTATTTTTAAATATGTGGCACGTTGTACTGCTTAAATATATTAATAATAACTACTCGTATTATTCAATATTGAATATGACATCAATAGATTAATATTTGTATTTTTGTAAGAATTTGAAATTTGTTGTATTAAGAGACATTCATGGTAATATACCCATACTGTACTGTTTCCGAACCGAAAGTTTGGTATACCAAAACGCGGCACACCAAAATTTCGGTAAGATAACGATATATAAATTTTGTATAGCGAAAGTTTTGGTACGACAAAGGTATATAGAAGTACTTTGTATGAGAGAAAATATTCCATATATTGTACCGAAAATGAAATTTCCATTTCAAATCAGAATGTCTAATTAAATAGGGACAAAAGTTTACTCTTAATTCCATAATACGCAGTAATACTTTGAAACGTATAAATAGTTATTTATTATATATATACTCCCTCCGTTTCTTCAATATGATTTGAAGAAACAACAAGATGCCAACGAGTTGGAGGAAGATTACTCTTATCCCCTTATTCAAGAATAAATGTGATGTACATGAATGTGCCAACTATCGAGGGATTAAACTTAGGAGTCAGACCATGAAACTTTGGGAACGAGTGATTGAGCAAAGACTTCGAAGAATTGTGAAGATTTTAGAGAATCAATTTGGTTTTATGCCTGGTCACTCAACAACTGAGGCCATTCACCTTCTTCGGCAACTTATGGAGAAGTATAGAGACGCTGACAAGGATCTTCATTTGGTGTTCATTGACTTAGAAAAGGGCTATGATAAGGTACTTCGAGAAGTTCTTTGGTGGGCATTAACTAGAAAAGACATATCACACAAGTATATCAACAGCATCATGGATATGTATAAGGATTGTACTACAAGTGTTCGTACTAGTGTAGGGAGGACTGCGGAGTTCCCTATTACTATCGGAGTGCATCAAGGATCGACTCTGAGCCCTTTCTTATTTGTCATAGTCATGGATGAACTTACAAAGTCAATTCAAGATGAAATACCGTGGTGCATGATGTTTGCCGACGATATTGTATTGATTGATGAGACGCAATCAGGTCTTAAAACAAAGTTGGAATTGAAGTCCGGCAACAAACATTGGAGAACAAGAGTTTTAGACTAATTCGGAGCAAGACAAAGTACATGGAGTGCAAGTTTGATGGAGGTAGAAGCAGTGGTAATAGCGGAAGTACTCTAGATGGTAAAGGAGATACCGGTCAGCGATATGTTTCGTTACCTGGGCTCCATAATTCAGAAGGACGGTGAGTTAGATGAAGATGTATCCCATAGAATCAGAATAAGTGGATGAAGTGGAAGATTGTGTCAGGGACTGAAGGGTAAATTTTATAGGACAACAATTAGGCCTGCATTATTGTATGGCGTAGAGTGTTGGACGATGAAACAATGTCACATTCAAAAGATGAGTGTGGCAGAGATGTGCATGTTGCGTTGGATGTGTGGACATACTAAGAAGGACCACGTGAGGAATGAGACAATCAGACAAAGGGTGGGAGGAGCACCTATTGAAGACAAGATGCGGGAGTCGCGCCTACGGTGGTTTGGTCATGTGCGTAGAAGACCGAGTGATGCACCTATCAGACGAGTTGAGATGTGAGGAGAAGAGGCAAGCAAGGAAGAGAGGGAGAGGAAGGCCCAAACAGACGTACGTGGGTTAGGGGAGTCCGAAGTGATATGCTTCTTTTTGGGTTGGATGAGAGTATGGCTTTGGAGATAACAAAGTGGAGGGTGAGTATTCGTGTGGAGGAGTGATCTCGTTTTATCTTTCCTCCTCATCTTTTTTTTTCTTGTTTTTTTATCCTTTTATCCTTATATATATAAATATTATTTTTATCTTTTTATTTTATCATTTCTAGGTATATTCATCTCTTTTTATATTATCTTTTTTATAATAGCTTATCTTTTTTATCTTTTTTTCTTTCTTTTCCTTTTGGTGGTGATATCATGTATCAATTCATGTTAGCCGACCCCAATATCTTTTGGGACTAAGGCTTAGATGTTGTTTATGCTCCCTCCGTTGTTTATGAAATCTCTTTAACCTTGGGCACCTGTTTTAAGAGGAAAATAGTGTACCTCAGAAAAAGAGAGGAAAATAGTGTAGGGTAAATGAAAAAGTAGGAAAAAGAATATATTAAGAAGAGTAAAATGATAATAAAATAGGAAGAAGAAAGTGGTATGTAAAAAATAAAAAAGGGTAAAAGTAATAAAAGTGGGAGTATATAGCTATATTTATCTCAAAAACTTCCAAAAAACGAAAAGAGGAACAATTAATAAAAAACAAACCAAAATGAAATTAAATAAAAGACAATTATTAAATAACGGAGGGAGTATATATAGATATTAATTTGACAGAAATAATATTGAATCACAAAAATAGAATATATTCAAAGACTACAAAGAAAAGATTGACTTTGACATGCATTTGTCAAGGATTGTTACGACTTACACGTGATTATCAACTTTCAAGTTTCTCGGTACAAATTAAAGTAAATTTCGAAGAGTTCTGTCAATTAAGGATTTGACATAGATTAGCGGATATTAGTCAAACTGTTGCCAACACATATGCAAAATAAGGGGTGTTCGTGGGTTCGATTTTTAGTCGGTCAATTTTAAGTCAGTTCGATTTTTAGTCGGTCAGTTTTAGCGACTCTTAAAACACATGAAATCGAGAATTGAACCACTAAACTTGAGTGGGATTTGGTCAATCAATTCTTGCATGTTTTGGTTGGGTTTTACCTGCTGATTCTGATTTGGCCGATTTTTTAACTCAAAAGTATAAACTGTAAATCATTCACTGACAAATTAGTCTTTTTCGGTCAGTTTCGGTTTTATCGGTTCAATTTTTGTCAATTTCGAATTCATTCGGTTTGATTTGAGTTAGTTTCTCAATTAGTTCCCGTTTTTCGGTTTTTTGTTCACCCCTACGCAAAAGTTGTGTTATCATGAAATAATTAACACTTAGTTGTTACAAAACACTTAGTAGTAAAATAAAAAATGCACATTTACCGATGAACAATTTTGACCATTAATATATACTATATATGATTCTCTATTAGTAAAAAGTTTTAAAAAATCACATTTAAAAAATTTACATTGACACAAATTCAACCATATTTTTATAAAAACTAATTTAATTTATTATGTCGTAATACATAATAAATAAATCGTAATCAAAGTATAACATGTGAATAGTGTAAAATTCAGTATGCATGTTGCACTTATTTAAGATCGGAGGAAGTATGTAGTATTAAATGGAGCTCGCTGAAAGCAAGAATAGTAAACCTGAATTGTACATCATTTTGGGCCGCTATAATATTATAATTCAAATCAGTACTGATGGCTTTATAGTGTAATTATATGATAGAAATTTTTCTATCATATGTAGTGCTTTTAGGTATTAGAAGTTAATTATATTACTGTGGTAAAAACGAGGGAGAGTCAGAAAATATGTTAAGTGTAGATCGAGTAAGAAATTTGGCAGCGTAACAGTAAGCTTGAGAATACAAAAAGTGATCCCTTTAACAAACTGGGAGGTGATGTTTATAGTGTACTTGAGGAACAAGTAAAAATAATTGCCTCAGTAGTCTAATGACATGTGTAAAGCTAATTGGAGAAATAATATCTCATTGATTGGTACCATTGCACAGACTTTTGTCATTTCGTACTGGAATGCATGCTTGGATAAGCCACACGTGTAGTCTGACAACTAACATGTGTAACCGAATTAGGTGATGTCAGCCCTGGGACAACTGTCATGTAGTAACGTAATCCTTAATTTGAGATATCTTAGTGCTGATATGTCCAAGTCCACAATTTTTATATGAGGTCCCGGACTCAGCCATAGATGTTGAGCTCAAGTGTGTAACGCGCTTGCTCAGGGGGTAAGTAACCCGTCTCATAACGTGAAGCTGGAATGGCTTTATTTGGTCTTTGAGCTCATAATGCGGTAGTTGGATCGAAGCTCGGTCGTAGTACCAGATGTGTTGCCAACCTCGGCGAGGGTCGGCCTCGGTCTCGACTAAACTTATCTCAATGATCTCAGAGATGATTTCGAGCTCGGCCTCAGCGAGTGCAGACTTGGTCGGAGTTGTCTTAGATTATTATGGAGATCCTTTAATTTATCGTAATGATGATGCCCCTGGGGTATATGGCAATATACTCCATCAAATACAAATAAAATCTATTATATGACGTATAAGGTTAGACATGATTCTAGTTTTGAACTGAATGTTAGATCATTTATAGTTAGAAACAGTGCGATGAGCGACTCGGTTTTGATCCGAACTCACTATCTTTTAAAAAATTGAGCACTCTTAACTCC